CAGTCCATATCAGTATAGATATCCAGCATGAGATCTGATGTGTTTTCAGAGTGTTTAATTTTTTTGAGGAATGTATTACAATGGGAGTATATTATGTAGCAAAGCCCTTATGGAGTTGCATCATCACGCAATATGATTGTGGTGCAATTTTCTCTTTATCTAGTGGGAACCTTGGATTGAAAAAATCTAAACCCATATTCTGTAACTTCTGTAGTGTAGCCAGCATACTAATCCATGGAGATCCCATCTAGCATACATTGAATATATACTTCAAATGAAGAAGGAATCTTTTCAAGTTTCTTATTGTTCCATAGGATGAATGGAAGTGAGTTGGTGATGCTTCACCTGATATCAACAGTTGCATTGTGTATGATCATTTTAAAAAATCTTTTTTTTTTTTATTTCACATTCTATACACCCCATAGAGTTGCAAGGAAATAAAGGAAAGGAAGAAAAATATTTTTCCAAAGATGCATGAAGAATGACAAGCAAACACAGAACAGAACTTGTCCTCTTTAAATTGTAGTTTGTGTAAGTGTCCTGCTAGATAGCATAGCAGTTTCCCGACATGAATGGGGCTCTGTCTAGTTGCACAGAGCTACTAGTGTTGCTGGAGAAGTGGACACCAAGTGCCTTTTCTAAGTAAAAACAAAGAATTGTATACACAGAGGAGGAAGAAAGGCTTCAGGATTTGTGTTGTAAATGTAAGAGCATTTGTAACAGGGTTTCCTTTCACTCATGACATGCATACATATTTATAAAAAATGCATATACATAATGTACAAAATGTATGGGGTTTGTTGTTTTTGTTTCACTAAGCCTTTCACTTGTGAACTATTGTTGGCATTTTAATTAAGACATTCATTGTGACATTTGTACATGTACAGTTGTTGCTAAACTACAGCTGCTGGACCAAGAGCCCTATACATTGCGGGACAAATGCCTGGAATGCAGAAGACCTATGTTTTGGGCATACATCCCTAAATATATAGGGCCCTGACGGTAAGTGCCACTCGTTACAGCATTCTGTCCTGTCTAGCTACAGCCTGCCTTTGACAGCCTGCAGACAGTGGGGCTGGAAGTTGCACCTGTCTCTCCCGGGCACACTAAATCACTGTAAGGGATGCTCAGCAGCAAGATGCCCTCTTCTGTGCCAAGCATCACAATTGCACTGCAATCGTGGCAAAACACATCGTGTGAAGCTGCTGGCCAAAAGAAGCTCCTGCTCCTTTTGGGGCGACAATCTTTGCACAGTGCGTTTTGGTGCAATTGCAGTGTGATTCCTTTGCGTGGCAAAATCGCACCATGTTTGATGCTGTTAAGAATGAATAGCACTCAAACACGCGTGGTGCGTTTTGCCACGTTTGCAGTGCGATTTGGAATTGTGGGCAGAATCACGTTGATTCTGCCCACAATTCAAAATCGCAAAGTGTAAATGCGGCCTTAGTAGTTTGTGATTGTAAAACACATAACAGATATTGAACCTGATTCCTTCTATTGATCACATACTGTTACTGTGCTGGTTTTATTGTAGTATCCACATGCATGGCCAGGCTTATATAAAAGAAAAAATGTGTATTTCTCAAGTTTAGTGGATTCTATAGGACAGTAATTTAGGTAAATCCCAATAGGACAAAAAAAAAAAAACCCAAAAAGGACAGAAATTATAACCCTTTCTTACTCCAAAATGGAAAAAAAAATTTGCCTTTAGTTCTACTTTAAAGTAATCATACACGTATAGATTTGTCTTGTTTAACCTGTGGTCTGAACGCGAGAAATCTTAACCTCTTCACGCCGACCATACGCAAAAATGCTGCCTCTCGGCGGCTGGGCCTTGATGCAGGGTGCCTCATATTTGCATACCATTTGTAAACAAATGTGCTGAGAGCACATGTTGGCGTCCCACGGAAAGGTCCCGATCTCACCTTGCAATCAGGACCTTTCCTATCATGTGACTGCCATGACAGCCAATCACGGCGGTCACATGACCCTAAACCTCACCACGCCTCCCGGCATCAGAAACCCCTTTAAGGGAGGCGCCAACATGAAGGGGTTAATAGTAAGATTCCTTCACCCATGCTAAACAGGATGGACAGAGGAATGTCCCCTGACAGCGATTGAATTCTGACAGCCAACACCCTTGGCTGTCAGAACACCTAAACAGTGACTGCATTTGATTGGATGCGGGTACTGTTTGGTTTTCAATTTTCCACCCAGCTCCTTTGACAAAATCAAGGTTTGAGGAGCTGGGGGTGACCATAGAGCAGTGAGTCTTTGGGGAAAGTGTAGAAGTGAGTAATAAAATGGAATCTGCATTTTTTAAAATGATGAGCAATATGATTATGAGTTATACAAAAGAACTTAACTGGGATTTAAGTAATCTTTTCATGAGGCAATTGAGGTGAATGTGGAGAATCCTCCCCATTGTCATGTTGTATTCTGACAGTGGAGATCCCTCTGCTGTCAGAATACACTGATCAGCCAGTTGGCTGCGGCGCTGATCACAGCCAAATTTTCCAACATTAGATCAACTGTGGTCATTAGATCAACTGCTCTCGAAGGGGAACAGCCATAGTTTGACCAAATTCATCCAGTCTGGGCAGAACCGGATAAATTTTAATCCACCTATGGCCAGCTTTAAAATAGAAGGGTCAGCTCAACAGCCAGGCAACTAGCATTTCCATAAAGGGAATCCTTAATGACACTCCATGCTTCCATTGGGAAAGGTTTCCTTTAACTGATCAGCTTCGAAATAAATTGAATCAAGAATCTGATTGCCATAGGCAATGCTGATAGTTTTTTTTTTATTTTTTTTAGTAGACCTATCCTGGTAAAAGAGCTGGAAAAGTGTATTTTTGTTTAGTTAGCACGCCTGCTTCACTAGTTCTATAACATCAACACAAGGCTTCCTGATACCTTAGAGACTGCCTTTAGATAAAGCCTTGTTTATACAGGCGGCAGGTACCAAGTGCATATGAAGGGGAGAGATACAATCGTAAACTGAGAGCCCACTTCACAAAATATAAATAACTTTCCAGATTTAGCGTGTGTTTTCCTTTAAGAGAGAATCAGAGCTTCACGCCAAGAGAGCATGTGGCTGTCAAAGTTCATTAGGGTTTCGCAAGTGACTGCACCTTTAAGAGCCAGGATGTGGCTTTGCAATGTGTAGAGTGTGACTGTGCACCAGAACAGCTGAGGCTTTCACAGGCTGCTAGAAGGAGACACTGTCCAGCCAGAGTCATCGGTGAAAGGCTGTCCTAGGAAAATGTCAGCCCTGTTTAGCTAAGGTTGTACTAATGTGGAATATTTCCTTATGCGGCAAAGGAGAAAAAAAAAAGGTTGAAAGGCAGCACTGGAGGTAGTGGGCTGGTGTAGAACAAGCTATGACAGCTAGTGTCGGCATGAGAGCACAGGGACTGCCGACGTCCGCTGGAAACAACAAGTAAGTCTTACATTACAGTAACTCTACCTTTTGTCTTCATGTGTTAGGTACAATTAGTGTGCTTTTTATAATGTTTTATCATGTGGTAACTTTGTTTTAGTGTTTCAGGCAGAGCCATGAATTCAGCCTCCTTTGCTAGCTTGGGTATAAAGATCTACATATTGCCAGCTTCAGTGTGCAGGGCATGGATCTGTCTTCCTTGTTATGTGAGCTCTACCAGTTTCTCTTTCAGCTGTGGAATTTCAGACAGAGCTGGGAACAGGTCCGTCTACATATTTCCAGCTTGTCTGTGTGCCATGGTGGTCTGAAGACTTTTAGAAATAGAAACAATATGGCTGGAGGGCAAGGGTTTGGTGATCAGGTGTATTCTGTATTTAAAAGCTTGGTTTTGGTCTTGAAAGGATAAGCTGATGACCTTAAATAATGTCTTCAGAGGCTTTAAAAGGAGAAAGCATGTCTTCCTGGGAAACAACTGTTTGCAGTTTGCTTCTTGAAGAAGGCAGGATGACAGTGACAGCATTCTGAGAGCAGTAGTTAACCACAGTTTAAAACCTAAAAATTTGAAAGTTTCTTTTCATTATAGAAACACTGCAGTTCCGGATCCTTTTCCTGTTTAACTTCGGGTTAGATATCTGCTCACTTTTGTGTACATACCTGACTGTTGGTCTGCCTGTTCACCCATGCTAAAAGGCCTACATTTCGTCTGGTGTTATATACATATGCATTATATATTATTATAAATACATATGACTGAAGTGTAGGGCTAATTTACTTTTCAGTTCCTCACATTATAGAAAATGTCATGTAAACCATAACACATTACAAACATAGTTGCCATTTATTGCACAAATGTGCAGGTGCTGTGGATCACTGAAAGGTATAGCAATTTTAACGTGTTGTCATGAATTTCACAAACGTATTGGAAGCCTAGTTCACATATAAAAATCTCCAGGTGTACGGTACTTCAAAATGCTCCAAGCAGACATTCTTAACCTCGAGGAATGTATTTTCTCCCTCAAATGGCATTCAGGTTCAGCTTTCAACTATGTTATAACTTTTTATTAGAAGTGTATTTTAACTGTGGTGGACCAGATAAATCTAAATGTTTGCTCTCCCATTATTTGCAGGAAAAGAGGAAAGTGCTTCAAATGTTGAAGACGAAAGAGATCCTAAATCTGCCTATTATGTGGAAACACCTTATGGATACCAGATAGACCTGGATTTCCTTAAGTATGTGGAGGACATACAGAAGGGTAACACTTTAAAGAAGGTAGCCATTGCAAAGAAACGCAAGTTGATCCCTAATTTTCCAGAAGGCAGGGTAGAATCCTGCCAGGGAGCTGGATGGCCCTCTACAGATTCTCTTTCATCTTCTAACAGTGATGAAAACAAACAATCACCTTTTGTAATTGCCAGGCGACATACAGTTTCTGGCTCTGTTAAATCCTCTTACTCTCAAGAAGCATCTCCAAATTGTTTAGCCATCCCTGAGAATAAACCATTGCCACCTCCTTCGCCACAGCTTCCAAAACACAATTTTCATGTTACAAAAACTTTGATGGAGACACGTAGAAGGCTAGAGCAAGAGAAAGTCATCATGCAGGTAGCTTCATCCATCAATGACATTCGTAGGCCAAGGTTGGCAAGTTTTGGAGGTATGGGCTCTACAGGGTCACTATCATCATTCCCTGGATCAACTGGACACAGCTCAACTGCTCAACCGCTTCCAAATGGCCACCAAGCCACTAGTGATTATGGTGCCTTTTTTGCTTCCTCTTTAGGGAGTTCTATCCGTCACAGCCCTCTAAGTTCTGGTGTTACAACACCGGTGACTAATGTGAGTCCTATGCATCTCCAGCATATCAGGGAGCAGATGGCTATTGCACTTAAGCGCCTCAAAGAGCTAGAGGAGCAAGTAAAAACTATCCCTATACTTCAGGTAAAAATTTCAGTGTTACAGGAAGAGAAAAGGCAGCTTATGTCTGAAATTAAGAGCCAAAAGGTTGGCAGCCAGAAGGATACTACAGGTTTCCGAAAGAGATCTTACAGTGCGGGTAATGCTGCTGGGTTTGAAACCTCACGTACACCGGTTAAACCTGGTGGGGAATTGCATATAGATTCTGATGATGACACAGAAACTCAGGAACAAAATACACAGACACTGAAAGAGTTTAGACAGCTAACTGCTGAAATGCAAGCTTTGGAGAAAAAGATCCAAGACAGCAGTTTTGATGCTGCTTGTTCTCCCCAATCTAAGGAAAAGAAAGTTAAAGAAAAATGTTGCCGTTCTGTTGCTGTTGGGGCGGATGAAAATATGAATGAGGTAGTGATGTACTACAGATCTGCTAATCTGAGCAGAGATGCATCGGTAGGTACTGAAATAGCCGTAAAAAGCACTGGGGTTGGGGTAACGGAGGAATTACTTGGGGTTTGTACGGATGCTGAAAGAGAAGTTGAACTTCAACAGCAAACCATTGAAGCACTTAAAGATAAAATTTACCGACTTGAAACAGACTTGAGGGAAACCACCTATGAAATGGAGATGACTAAACTGAAACTGGAGATAAGGGCAGCAGGCTCAAGGCAAAAAGTAGATAAAGCGGTGATGGCACAACCCTTGACTTGCAACAGGATGGTTGAAGCAGTAGTAGAAATGAGTGACCAAAGCAATGGAGATTACTTAGACGTGGTTGACTCTTGTGTGGGTGACTACATGCACATGAGCAGCATTGGGATTTTATGTCAGCCTACCCTCCAGAGTACTGCTGCTGGCCCTGATTTCCCAATGAATCACTGGATTGTAAAACCTCGAGTTGACACATATGACAGGGGTGTGGGGTTGGAACTGGGAATGTGTGACAAAAGTGTTGGCATGGACCCAATGATCTGTGATGGGGGACTCTACGTATTAGATGATGCACACAAGCAAGGGCATAACAAGACAACCACTAAAGATGTGAAATCTATTGGATGTGGCGATTGTTCAGTGGATGTTACAGTTAAACCATTGTTGGATTATTTGTCACGTGGGGTCAATACAGAGCTTGTAACCAAAGTTGATTCTGCCGTAACAGCTTCTCCTTGGACTGCTGATCAGCAAACGAACACTGAACTAATGCTAGCAAGCCAGTCGACCAACACACATGTGCCAAGTCTTGTAGATACAAGCACAAATACAGCCATCAGCATGTACAGTAAACAAACAAACACAGAAATTGTGGAAATGCGTTCTGTAGCCATAGGAGATGGTAAAGTAAAGGAAGTCAACGTTATACCAAAAACACGTTCTATAGGAGTATGCACATCTGACTCTGAAAACCTATCTTCAGTCCGTAAGACCAAAGATTTTGGAACTGGGCAGATAAATATATTGGATAACTTTTTGATAGGTGTTAAGGTGCGTAGCATAGCATGTGGCCCTAGTGAGGCCATTCCCCTTTCCGTTGACATAGGAACTATATCGGTTGAAGATGAACCCTGTGAGGAACAAGAAAATACTTCAATGAAGACCAATGAATCAAAGACTGAATCTCCTGCCATAGACCATTACATAGAACGTGTTCAAAAGTTGCTACAGGAACAGCAAATGCTTCTTGCTGAGAATTACACCGAACTGGCTGAAACTTTTGGAGAGCCTTATTCACAGATAGGCTCTCTTAATTCCCAACTCATCAATACCATCTCATCCATAAACTCTGTAATGAAGTACAGCAGCAATGAAGAGCTACAGACCTCAGGAATACAGAAGAAATCAACGGAGATGGACTCTATTTCAGGTAAGGTTTCAAAATGATTCAGTTCATGGGATAAGTCAAAGTCAAGTCATATGCAAACATTTGGTGTCCATTGAACAATGCTACCACAGTTTGGTACAGAAAATGATCATTCTGTTTTTAGGGACTCTTTGTTCTTATAGGGAAAAACTCTTGTAGGTATCCTGTTTATAAAAAAGATTTGTGAAAAGCAGGAATGGGGCTTTGGTCTATCTAAACTGCACAGTGTTTTAATTTCTTCATATTAGATTGCTTCAAACAGGTAATTGGTATTTATGTAGACCGGGGATGTAGTGACGGATTTTGGACACTGCTTTTACTTTAGTTGTTTTAAAATCTTTTACTCTTAACAAATGATAAATTATTTTTTTTTCTTACCTGTAATAACTGCTGTGTCAGGCCTATGACACAACTGCAAATGAGGGTGAATTGACTAAGTTGTCCTACTAGATGTGTCTGTTGTACAAAATCTCTAAAAAATTGTTTGCATCATCCTGCAATCAGACTGTTGTTCTTGGTGTCAATACATTTATAAAATATCCTTGAGATCTCCATAAGTTGATATAGTTTCCCTCCTAATGTGGAAAAAACTGTGTTTAATAAGAAGCTTTAATATATATTTTGTTTTCTGGGCATGTTGCGTTTGATTTCTGAGATGGAAGGCAGAGTTTATCTCTGGCCTTTTAAACTTTTGATATTTAGGACAACAAAAGCTGGCTAGAGAACATTTTCCTAATAGCCCTAGGTGAGTCAGAGTTACAAATCAGAGTACAATACATGTGGAAAGTGAAGCTTTAGTCCTCATGCACACTGGACATTTTTACAGCTGCTGTTTTTGGCTTTTGGCATTTTTTTTCTACAGCCAGTAAACTCCCCAGCATGTTATCTTATGTGTCCATGCACACATAGGCTATAATCAGCATTTTTTGGCTGGGAAAAACCCCCAGAACTAGTGGAGGAGTTTTTTTTAGCTGTAAACCGCTCTAATGCTAAATTTTTTTATTTTTTTTCTAGTAAAAAAAAAAAAGTTAGAGACCGCAAACGTGGAAAAATGTCTAAATGCTAATGCAAAAACGCTAAAAAGCGCTGAAAACTCACTTTTTTAACATGACCTTACACAGCTAACGCAACCAGCATTATTAAAATGCCCAGTGTGCATGGAGCCTTTGAAGGGATTCAATATAAAAATAACCAATGTAACTTCTAATAACTACAGTATACTTTCTATTTTACACTTAACACATTTATGCAGTTTTTAAAAGGCTAGATTTTTTTTTAAATTATACTGAATAGACTGTTACACCAGGTTCACATTTGCGAGATGCAAAACTAGGTACAGTCCCACAGCGCCAAAAGCATGCATTCCTTTTGCAGGCATGCAGTAGTGATAATTCGTAGTGGCACCCCAATGCACCTTGCTAATGTGTGTATGGAAATTGCATGGCATAACACATGGAAACAAAGAGCCATACATTTCGGTGTGGCTTGATTTAAAAAATTCACTTGCCTTCCTTTTGTTCTGCACATAGGGCAGCTCATTTAAATGATTGGGCTGCTCTACATGCAACACACTAAAAAGCATACACACCAGTGTGAATGGTGTCTAATAGCAGAGGAGAAACTACATAGGTGGCTATATTCAATGAAGCTTGTGCAAACACAAAGTCTAGGGTGTAAAATGCAGTAACCCACTATAAACCTACATTACTGGGGTTTGTTTATTTAAAAATGCCAGTTGCCTCATTGTCAAGATTAACCCTTAGCTTTGGTGCTCTAGGTCACTGACATAGGCTGGCCATAGATGATACGATTTTCTTTCCTGCAACCATGGATTAACCCTGGGCTTTGGTGCTTTCTAGGTCACTGACTTAAGCCTAGTACACACCGGTTGAATGTCGGGAGGCTGGTTTATAATGAACTGGTCGATGCCGCCTGACATTCAGCCCATGTATAGGGCAGCCGGTTCGACAGAAGCTGGCCAGAAGTTTGGCAGGCTTCTGTCAAAGGGGCATGACCGAAAATGGTCTGCTGATCGGCTCCTGATCAACGCTCTCAACCAATGTCTGAGAGTGCTGACCGAAGCCTTCTGTCCCTTTCAGAACACAATAGCATAGCAGGGGAGATCGCTGTACTACCATTGGATAGTTAGTGTAGCCGCGTCCTTCTGAGCTGTTTTTTTTTTTTCTTTTGTTCAGCCCGCTGGGTTAACCCCTTGGTGCCGGCGCCTCCCGGTCCTTTAAGGGTTCTAGAAGCCGGGAGGCGGGGCGGGGTTTTAGGGTCATGTGACCGCCGTGATTCGCTGTCATGGCAGTCACATTGAATGGGAAAGGTCCTGATCAAAAGAGGAGATAGGGACCTTTCTGTGAGTACAGAACATATGTGCTAGGGCGCGCACTCTCAGCACATATTTTTTTTTCAATAGAACACAAATGTGCAGTCGCTTGGTGTTTAGCCCCAGACGCCGGGAGGCTGCACATTTGCATTCGGCTGGCGCCAAGAGGTTAAATGTAAAAAAAACTAGCAGTATGTATGAGGCTTTAGGCAGGCCATGATGATGTTTTTCTTTCCTGCAACCACTCTCAACTGCCCCATCAACACAGTCAGTGTTGATGGGAGAAATCCCGTCTGTGGAGCTACTGTGTTCTCCCGTCAGGGGGGGTCGGCACGTAGAGCAATCCCTGCCAGGAGGACACAGTGATTATCGCTGACGGCTAGAGCCACTCTCAATAATCGCATGCTAGAAATCGGACATGCTGGTTGGTCGGTGGATCAACTTGAGTACATTCAGTCTGCCCATACATTGATCGAATCTCATCTGGTCCCTGTTGAACTGGATGAGATTAGAACCAACTATGTCCGGTTTTACAAATATGAAAAATTCTGACTTGATCTTTGACTTCTTGCTTGCTTGTTCTAGGTCAGTGTCTCAAAGTTTTAATATCTTGAGACTGTCAGGCAGCTAACAATTCAGAAGGAGAGCAGTGACAGCTGCCATATTTCTTTTATGACAGGTTTCTTTTAATGAAGCCCCTTGTTAAAACACAATTCTTTTTCTTAGACAAACTCCCATCTTTAAAAATATACAAATACGCTGCACCACTTTTATCCTAGACATGTAATCACATGTAATGGGCAATTCCAAGACTGATACGCTATCCACTTTGAATGGCATAGACATCTCTTTTTCAAAAGTTTGTAAAAAGAGATTTCTTTGAAACATCAGTGGTGACATCAGCATAAACCTTTCTGTATTTAATGTGTTGCTTCCAGGATGATCGTTTTTACTGATGTGATCGTGTGGTGTAGCTTACATTATGCCAACAAAAGGGCATTGGGGTATATTCTTTTCCCACTGAAGGTGAACATATCCTCTGCATCTAGTGTGAATTCAAGAGGTAAAAAATCATACTAGCTGTGCTCCGATTTAGGCATTTTCCTGCAACTGTCTGTGAAGGCGTTTTTAACATCTCAAACATTCAATTAATAGAAGAACCTGATTAAAGTGGTATTAAACCCCAAAAAAATGTATTATATTGCAACATACCAAATTTTAGATGTGGTATCTGCATTAGTTTTTCTTTTTAGGCTTTCTTTCTTCTATTTTCACCTGGTGATCCAGCCAGTAAGTATGTTGTTTTTCAAAAGAACAATCTGTCCTGCAGATTGCGACACAGACAGGAATGAAATATTAAACACTGACAGGGGCACTTACAATGATCAGCTTTTTATTTAGGTACAACCTTTATCCCAAAAGGAACAAAACTGTTTGCTGCAGCTGAATTTAAAGTGTGAGCTGAAGTTTGGCTTCGATTTAAGTGTATTTAAAACTACTAGTACATCCAACACTCCTCTCCCCTCAGACTGACAATGCTGCTGTCTAAATGTGCTCCCTGTGCTCATTCATCCAGAGTGGAGGCACTTGAATACAGGAGGTGTGTTACTGACCAGAGGTGAAAACAGAAGGGAAAAAACCCTTAGGCTCCATGCACTTTAGTGTTTTTTTTTAGGCTCAGAAAACGCTGAGAAAACTGCTAAAAAAAATCATTTTAGTAGTGTTTAGGAGCATTAGCATTTTATTAGCGTTTTTACAGCACATATAGAGAGTAAAAAAAAGCTGTTAGGAGCGTTTTAGTAGCATTTAGCAGCGTTTAGCGTTTTTTTTTTTGTTTTCTGATGGAAAAACTCTCCAAAAAAACTTCAAAAACAATTTTTTTTTTGCTCCTAGACGCTGAAGCTCAAAAAATGCTAATAGCCTAAAGTAGTATAGGATAACACTATTTAGCCTCTAGGAGCAGAAAAAATATGCTGACAATAACTTCTAGCTAGCTTAAAAAAAACCGCATGGAGCCGCAAAAAGAAAACTAATGCTGCCACCACATCTGATTGGTAAGCAGCAATATATTACATTTTTGTTTTTGGGTTTAACCACTTGGCAACCGCGCTATAGCCGAATGAGGGCTACAGCGGGGTTTTCCAGTTCTGGGAGGGCGTCATATGACGTCCTCCCAGAGCGCACCCTCCCACGCACCCCCAGCAGCGCGCACCGGGCGATCTCCGTGATCACTGTTTCCTACGGAGACAACTGATCACGTGTTATGGTAAAAGACCAATCACAGTGGCCTTTTACCATGTGATCGGCTGTGTCCAATGACACAGCAGAAAACTGGGTAAATGCAGTTGACGGTTATCGGCTGCACTTTCCTCATGTTGTCACAGTGTGAGAAAAGTACTGCCGATAACCAGCAATTGTCAGCAAACAAACCGGCACTGACCATCAGGGCACTGATGATCAGTGCCATCCACCTGTGCCCAGCAGTGCTACCCAAAAGTGCCAAGCAGTGCCATCCATCTGTGCCCATCAATGTCTAACAGTGCCACCCACCTGTGCCCAGCAGTGCCACCCATCAGTGCCGTCAGTCAGTGCCACCCATCATTGCATATCCGTGCAGCATCATCAGTGCCGCCTATCCGTGCCCATCAGTGCTGCCTATCAGTGCACATCA